TGTGTGTGTGTGTGTGTGTGTGTGTGTGTGTGTGTGTGTGTGTGTGTGTGTGTGTGTGTGTGTGTGTGTGTGCATGACGCGATCATTACCATACCTTATCGCTGTTTTTCAGTTAAAATCAAGTGAAGATTAGTGAATTTGTGAAAATTAAACCGTTATTCAATTTTACTAAAATTGAAATAATATTTATAAAAATTATTTCTTATAACTTTCTGGAATTCGTCTGCCATGTCCCTAAGTTTAGTAGCCTTTTGTAAATTTTTAATTAACTTCAAAAATTCTCTTTAGTTACATCCGGATTTCCGGAAACAATAAAATAAAAATTTTGACATTATACAATTTGTAAAATTGAGCCACGAAATTTATTTATATAAAAAGGCTATATGCGTTTCGCGCGATTCTATATCCGTGTCTAGATCTATAGCTAGAATAGTAGTCTAGGTAACTTCTTTATGGAAAATACTCGTGGAAGCCTAAAAAATGTATTCATATATTATATTTATTTATTGTATATTTTTTGTATATTATAAAAGATTTAATTTTTCCCAATATTTATCATTGTTGAAGAAATATTTCATTACTAATTGTAGAATTCGTCTTATCTTATTAATAAGATCTAACTAAAGTTCTTATCTTATTGATAAGAATGAATAATAAAACAATATTAGGGTGAGCATAGACGTACTCTTTTTATAAAAAATATAAACAATAAAAGATAAAGTTCATAACGATTGAAGCTGGATTTTTAGTGCTGAAATATTTAATAGAGCATTACGTACAAATCCAACTTTGACCGTTATGAGTTTTATTTCCTATTGATTGTGTGTACATTCACATGTACGGTCCAATATAAGATTCTTATTGTTTAGATATGTCGCCTGAAGAAATACAAAAATATAGAAAAAGTTAAAAAATCAAAAATTAAAAGGCAAAATATAGGAAAAAAAAAAGAATAAAATAAAAAGGTAAATTATCAAATCAAATGAAACAAGTTATAATTTACCTTGACGTAATGAGTAATGTGATTATAAATAAATATATTATTAATGAGTATACATAATAATGAGATTAGAAAGAAATATATTATTTTTACAATTAGAAAAAGATTAGTATATACACGTAAAGAGAGTAAATCGTTCCTAATGCCTGTGAAGCACTACGAGTATGAAGTGAGGCGCGAGACGACAGCCGGGCGCGCGCATGCGCGCATCGCGTATACAGTCCGAACTCTGACTATGCCGAACGGCACTTTTCAGTGTCAGAAAGTATCAGTCTTCTCTTTACCGCGTATGGGATTACGTCGCGGATATACGCGAGCCGCGAGCGGATGCACAGTTCGTCCCGTGTTCCGTTCTTCGTGCTCGCTCGGTCCGGCTCGGTCCGAACTGACGAACTCCGAGTCAGCCCGGCTTCGAGCAGAGTCGCCCCCGCTTTCTTCGCGCCAACCAGCGATAAATAGAGCGGGGCCAGCTTACTCCGCTGTGCGGATTAATCGACGGGGCTGCAGGGCTCTTTTCTCTCCCCCTCCCCCTCCCCCCCGCACCTAGTCAGCAGTAGTCGCTTGGTAGTCGCTGGTAGTCGCGAGTGCATCGTATTCGAGCGACGCATCGCGCGTCACGGTCGACTTCAGGACAGTGAGTTCACGGCGAGAGGGTAGGGGAACAATATGAACTCGATCGTGAGGATCGCGACGAGGGGACCGCGCGGCCGACGTCCCTGCATCGAGGATTCTACGCTCGAGCCCCAGGATTCGCGCTCGGCACCTGCCATCAAGTACGTCGTATGAATTCGATCTTCAATAAAGTTCGACCTGCGTCGCAGAGTATATATATATATATATATACATACACCTTGCATCACCGTTAAGATGTACCCGCTGGGAGCGATGTCACTTCGCGACTACACGGTCTGTCGACAAATAATAGCCGTTATCGAAGCGACGTCCTGCAGCGAGCGCAGCGTCGCGACACCGCGCGGATATGTGTATTGTCGTCAATAAAGCGACGCACCGATCGCGACGTTACGTCCTGACGGAAGTTGGCCACTGATGTTTATTCGCAACGTCGCCGAAGACACCTGGAACGAAGATCGTATAACATTGCGCAAATATTCGTTATGAAAGCGATTACTCCGGATCTCATGACACTACAATGCGGCGCGAAGAGTGGGATACTCCTGGGATACATTTTCTAGTGATCGCCCGGAATTCCGAGCTAGAATAATACGGTGAGCGTTTCTGTCGTCCGAGAGGGATTCTGTCAATCCAGGAAACCTGTGGTGTGTTTTGAATCGAAGAGAATCACGGCGAAAAACATTACGAGTGAAACCTCGCGATCGCGGATGGATTGATCAGTGCGCGCCGAAATCGCATCGTCGAGGCTTTCCCCCGTCGGTCAGGAGTGCATCGGATGCGTGAGAAAGTGCAGCTGCAGCAGTAGCAGCAGGGCGTCGGGAGGAGAGGTTAGGCGAGGCCGACACCCACCGAGCGAGTCGATCAGCTGTTCCGCGGTGCCGACATCATTGTCGTTTCGGACGCAGGTACGTGTCACTTTTCACTTTTTCTCATTATCGCTCTTTTGGGTCTAGGCGAGCGCGACCGGGATCGTTGATCGTGTCGAGAGACAAATATCCTGGCGCCTGATATCGATCGGCGAGCGTTCGATATTTTCAAATATCCTCGTCTGGAGTGAACCCTGTTTTTATCCGCAATTATTAACGATGATATAAATATTCATACAGCACACTTTTATCCAAAGGATATCTCGAGAACGTCCTGGGAATGTCCTGGAAACTTGTTTAGGACATGTCTCTTGGAAGTACTATGTGCTGGGTAGAAATTGATAGTAAATAAGAGTATGCAATCGATCGAATAGCAAAAGCGGTATTTTCCATTTCTGTTTATAAAAGTAATGAAGTAGACTCGCGAAAATATCGAATTTTCTTAAGAGAGGAAAGAGAAATATGTAAATAAATTCCACATTAACTAAATAAGTAATTAAATTTTATAGATAAATATCTTTTTTTAATTTGTTGACGAATGTGTTAACATAAACAATATTGCATCATTATATTTGCAAATAATCGGACTTATCCTCTTGACTAATAACACTCAATGTATAACATTACATGGGAGCACAACACCTTTTCTTCACTAACTTGCGTCGCGTGTCACAGAAAAACCTTTCAAACGTAACCCTCACTTTGTTTACAATGCTCGGAATGCGAAGAGGGATGCACAGGTGGTCACTTTTTTTTTACGATGTTGGAATGCAACGGAGAGGGCGTGAAATCGCACATAAAGGAAACGCTTGTAATTTCTGTTGTAATATTTTAAATGCACGCAGTTAAGCAGAGTATCTTTCTCTCTCTCTCTCTCTCTCTCTCTCTCTCCGAATTTATTCATTTATTAATTTCGATTCGGTAAATGTTCTTTTATAACATAGATTCCAAGTATTATCAAATAGATTTAACAATTCTTCTATAATATCTTGTTAGGTTAAAATAAATTTTGTTTGATTAAAGTTCAATTATAATAAAGCAGGGAGTGTAACTGTAAAGCTAGCTCTTCAACGACTCGTCGTAAGTGTTCACGTAACGTGTTCCCACATGTCTTGCAGTAACGTTAGGCTACTTTTTATTGCATTAAAATGTTTGTCGACTCGATCTCACCGTCGCATCACATGTTACGAATGACGCAAGAAGTCTCCACTTTCACAGTGTTTCCCGAACAATAGCATTGTATGAAATCACTGTATCAGTGACGTAACGGCAAATTGCAACGACAACAGTTGACGTTTTTACTGTGATTGTACATTGTTGTGAAAACAAGCGATAGATTACGTCTGCCGTGTGCTTACGATTTTTTCTCGACGGTTTACGTAACGCTATTGACCTTTGACTCGACGTACGAAGAGAACACGGGGATCGGAAGTAACTCATTAAAAAGCATTTCTTTGTAAAGTTGCTTGCATGTTAAGTACTGTTGTGCTTTGTGCAATGGATACACTGAGAAAAATATTTGTTCATTTGATTAAATTAATTTAGCTCGCTTTAATTTCTTTTCATAAAGAATGTGTATGTAAACATACATTATATTCGACTTAAAATCCATACATTCTTTACACAACCAAAATAAAGACGTACTAAATGAATTTGGTCGAATGAACAATTTTTTTCCTCAATGTAACATGAACGTTTTGTTTCCTTTGCGAGAATAAAGTAACGTTTCTCATAAAGTATTAATTCCGGAGCATTTCCACATTTTTTTTGCGATAAGAACT